CGCCGCCGCCGCCGCTCCCCGGGACCCCCCAGCAGGCCCGCGCCTCCCCGCTGCACCGGGCACCGGGCCGAGGGTGCACCTGCAGCCGGGCACCCAGCCCAGCCCTCACCCTGCATCCTCCCCCCGGGCATCCAAACCCAGCACCCAGTCCAGCCCTCACCCTGCATCCCGCCCCTGGGCATCCAAACCCAGCACCCAGCCCTCACCCTGCATCCCGCCCCTGGGCATCCAAACCCAGCACCCAGCCCAGCCCTCACCCTGCATCCCGCCCCCAGGCATCCAAATCCAGCACCCAGTCCAGCCCTCACCCTGCATCCCGCCCTCGAGCATCCAAACCCAGCACCCAGCCCAGCCCTCACTCTGCATCCCGCCCCTGGGCATCCAAACCCAGCACCCAACCCAGCCCTCACCCTGCATCCCGCCCCTGGGCATCCAAACCCAGCACCCAACCCAGCCCTCCCCCTGCATCCTGCCCCCGGGCATCCAAACCCAGCCCCTAATCCTAACCCTCATCCCAGAGGCAGAACCCAAACCCTGGCACCCGACCTAGCCTGTTCCCTGGCCCTGCCTAGCGTGGCCCGCCCTGGCCCAGGTGACGGGCAGCAGCCCAGGCAGCATCACTCACCTGGTGGTGACAGGGACACCCAGCATCACAGGGACATGGCAAGGCGGGGAGGCCGGGCCAGGTCCAGGAGCCCCTCCCGGGCCACGGGGCCCAAGGCAGGTGCAAGGGTGACTCTCTTTTCCTCTCCTTCCCAACACCTTGCCCCGTCAGCCCTGTGTACTCCGATACCCAGCGGTCCATCAGAGCTCGCCCAGCTCCATCCTTGCTGGGCCACACACTCCACATGCTCTGTCTCCAGCAGGAGACACCATTTCTCCCTCTGATTCCAGCAGGATTTTTGCTCCAGGCTTTTCTTCCCATAGGAGCGGGAAGAAGCCCCAGCTCACCTGGCTCTCCCGGCCTGGCTCTGGGTCAGGCACTGAGTGGGTTAAACACCCACAGGTGCCCCTGTACCGGCCCCTGGTACCTGCCACGAGCTTGGGACCTTCTCCATGGAGGGGACTGTCATCACCAAAGTCCCTAAAGGGGATTAAACACACCGCTCGAGCCCAGAGCACAGCCCTTTATTTATTGCAGAGGGATAATCCTCCTCTATTTCCTTCTTTTTATAAAAAAAAACACATTAAAAACAGCCCTTGCTGCACTCATTGTTTCCTAAGGCAGTGGAAACGCCCTGGAGCCCGTTGGAGCCCAGACTAGCGGCTGCTCCCGCACCAGCTGCTCCCGCTCTGGGCCCAGCTCTGCCCTGGCCCCGGCCTGGCAGGTTCGGGGCTCCCCCCAGGGAGGCCCACGGTGCCAGCTTGGGCCACAGGGTCCCGGGCTGCCCTAGGAGATGACGGAGCTCTGGATGGCGGAGAGCAGCCGCCTGTCCCGCAGCAGCCGGGGCATGGGCTGGGGGGAGCCGGCGGCCTCCCGCAGCCGGGCAAAGGCCCCTGGTGCCACCAGGTGCAGCCGCAGTGTCCCGATGCTGCCCTTGAAGCGGAAGGACTTATAGGTGGGGAAATCCTGCTGCAGGCAGCGATCCAGCTGCGGGAGAGGGAGGCGCCTGCAGCCCGCGGGGCCGCCCGCGCGCTGCCACCCCGGGTATCCCCGCCACTGCCCCCTGGGCATCCCTGCCTGTGCCCCTCCATGGGCATCCCCGCCACGTCCCCGCCGCTGCGCAGCCGGGCGGCCGCGTGTCCTGCGAGCAGCGTGGGCAGGCAGCAGTGCCACCGCGTGGCCGCGGGCGGCCGGCACCCACCCCGCGCGCCGCGGGTACCTTGGAGCGCTGCTCCTCCGACAGGTCCCGCAGGCCCTGCAGCTCCACGAACACCTCGTAGTGGGGGGCGCCGGCCCCCGAGGAGGCCCCTGGGGGCCCCACGAGCGCGTCAGGCGCGTGCCGGGCCGCAGCGCCCGCACTGTCAACCCCGGCGGCCCTCACTGGGTGCTCACCCAGCAGCGCGCTCTCCGCGCACACGTAGTCGACCAGGCGGGCGCCCGGCCACAGGGCCACGGCGCGGCGCAGGCTCTGCAGGAAGCGCTCCTCGGGCACGCGCTCGCCCCGCACGCTCAGCGTCTGGCTCTCCCTGCGCACGGGCTCCACCACGGGGCACTGCCTGCGGAAGCCGGACACCCGCAGCACCTCTCCGGCACGGCGCCTGCGGGGCCAGGGTGTCATTGTCACCGTGCATCGCGGGCGCACGGGCAGTGTCCGCGCACAGCGGGGCCGGGTGCACCTGTAGTGGCCGGGCCGGGCAGTGAGGACCAGCTCGTACTCGCGGCCCTCCCAGAGCTCCCCCAGCAGCGCGGTGGGCACCGGCGGCGGCTCCGTGGCCGCGCAGGGCAGGAACTCGCAGAAGGCCCAGTCGGGGCAGAGCAGGAAGCGGGGACTCGGCTCCTCTGGCCAGAGGTTCATGCCTAGCAGAGCTGGGTGGGCAGGGGCGCTGCTCAGCAGGGCACTGGCACTCGCCCGCGCCTCCTGACGCACTCGGAGAATCCCGCAGGAGTGACGCATAGAGATGCCCTACTTGGGGCTCGGGACAAGCAGGGCCACATGCACCCCCATGGAGACACTCACCTTGCGGGGACACTCACCTCCATTCACCTGGTAGAAGGGGCAGTAGATGGGGAGCCCCTTGCAATCCCCCTGCCGCAGGGCCTCGCAGTAGAGGTGCTCCCCGCCATGCGCCGTGCCCACCACCACCACCTGCAGCTGCGGCCACAGGCGCCGCACGATGCCCTCGAAGCCACGGGCGCACTCGGCCCGCAGCTCGGCCGCCCGCGCAGCGTCGGGGGACAGCAGCGCCTGCAGCTGGCGCTGGGTGCCCACGGGCAGCTCCGGACACGGGCTCAGCCACCCCAGCTCCAGGTCGTCAGCCAGGGCGGGCCAGGCAGCGCGCAGAGCGGCCAGCGCGTCGAAGAGCTCGGAGGGCAGCGCGGCCTCCAGCACGCGCAGCCCGCGCTCCCGTAGGGCCACGAGCAGCTGCAGACGCAGGGCGGCGGCGCGGGAGGGCACGGCGCCCGTCCCGCCCGGCGTGCAGTACAGCGTGGGCAGGGGCCAGCCCGCCGCACTGCGGGCACCGCCGGGGGCCCAGCAGAACCAAGCCGTGCCACGCAGAGCCAGCGCCTGCGGGAAGGCGCTGCGGAGCACGTCCAGGTAGAGCAGGGCTGCCTGCGCGGGAGGCGATGGAGCGAGGGAGACCCCAGCACTGGGCGCCCCAAAGGCCCTGCCCGTCCCGTCCACACCCCTACCTGTAGTGGGGGGGCTGCCGCCCAGGAGCTCCACAGCAGAGCCCACGGGCGCAGGTGCGGAACAGGGACCCTCTGCCCATCCGGCACCTCTTCAGGGCTGCCTGGTGCCAGCGGGTAATTCTCCCGGAAAGTGTCTGAGCCTGTGGGACAGACGGAGCGGGCAGAGCTGGGCCCTGGCCAAGTTGCCCGTCCTGTGCCCCGCAGTTCCTCCTCGCCCGGCGCTCACCTGCAGCCGCCCCCGCGGGCAGCAGCCGCCGCAGCCGCCGCTCCTGCGCGGGCTGCACCTCTGCGCTCCGCAGCTGCAGCCGCCGCCGCTGGCAGCTCCCGGCGTGGCACAGCACGGCCCTGGCCACCCAGTGCCGCAGCCACAGCGGCACCGGCAGCACCGCTGTCATGGCCACAACCATGCACAGCGCCAGGGCCACGCACAGCGCGAGGACCGCGCACAGCACCGGGGCGATGGGCAGCATCGCAATCCCGGCTCCCGCAGGTCCCCTGGCGCCACCGGAATCCCTGTGCACCCCCCACACCGTCCCGTACCGAGTACGTACCCTGGCACTAGACCCCCTGCCCGTAGGCCAGCAGTGGAGCCCTTCCCTCAACCCACCCTGCGCTGTGCACCGAGCCCGGGCACCGAATCCCGCCCTGAACTGTCCCGCTCCGCACACGGACCGCGACTGGATCCCTCCTGTGCACCGACCCCGAGCTCCACGGTCACCCCGAGGGCGCCCGGCCCCGCGCGCGGTCCCGGGGCCCCTGCGCCGCCTGCATCGCCCCGGTCCCGTGCGCGACCCCGAGCCCCCCGGCCGGCTGCGCGAGCCCGGGCCCGGCCCGCGCGCCCACGGTGACACCGGGCCCGCCCCCCCGGATATTCCGCCTCCGGCAGAAATGACGGGAAATGAGCGCGACCGGGCCCGCCCGGCCCCGCCGCCGCCGCGCGGGGTGCGAAGCGCGGAGCGGAGCAGCGCGGCTCCCATCGCGGGGCCGGGGTCTCTGCCCCTTTCTCGCAGGAAAACACCTCCCGAGCCACGCGAGTAGCGGAGACCGCGAGTAAAAGCGAAGCTCCCCGGCGGCTCCCGGAGATACAAGGCGCAGGTTTCCCGTTTTCCTCCGCTTTTCCCCCAGGACGCCGGGGAGGGGCGGGGGGGCCCTGCGCCACCTGCAGCCCACGAGAAGGGGAGTCCTGGGGGGGCGGCCTCCACAGCCCTGGGGGAAGGACGAGGATCCCGCAGCCGGGAGCTGCCCCCTCCCCAAGACACACGTGAAACCCAGAGCTTTTCTGTTACAAAAATAGTCGGTGCTTTATTTACTCTGTGGTAGAAAAAATAAGAGGGCCGGGGAGCAGGGGCTGCGCAGGAGGGGGGGGGAGAGGGGCCGCTGTGGCCCCCCCTGATCCCAGCCGCGCTCACCCCGGGCTCCGGCCCCCCCAGCCCCTCGCTGTGGGGCTGCCCCAGGGCAGGAGGGACACGCGGGGCTACCAAGAGCCGGGGGTCTCCCGTATCCTCCCGGGGAGCAGAGCCTCGGGACGAGGGTCCCCATGGCCCCCCGCGGCACGGGGGACATCAACACCGCGGACACGTACAGGCACGGCGGCGACAAGCGAAGGGGCGGCCGCGGGCGGGGGGCGCGCGCCGAGCCCCCCAGGGGGGCCGCAGCAGCAAGCCGAAGCCGGGGCTCTCGGAAAGGAACATACAGGAAAACCATGCGACAAATCCGCTGCCTTTTATACACGGGAAAACACCAAAGAGCCGGTGCCAGCCTGCGGTTAGGGGACAGCACAGAGCAAACCGGGGACAAGAAACCACCCGCTGCCCCCCGGGCCAGCACAGAGACACAAAGAAGGCGGCGGCCGCGCGGGGCCGGCGCCGGGGCCGGGCGCCCGTCACGACTGGGCATGCGGGATCCACTGAGTGTCCATGGGGCGCCGCAGGAGCTCCTCCACGTGCCGCGCCACGTCCACAGTGTCGTCCAGGTCGAAGTCGCCCTCCGGGTCCAGCACCGCGTCGGGGCTGTGGGGGAAGGCGGCGCGTGAGGGGCGCAGGGGCCCGGCCTGGCCCCGGGGGGCGGGTGGGGGGCGGCAGCGGCACCTACTTTTGGGCGTACATGTTGTAATGGGGCTGGGAGCACATGGCTGGCGACGGCGCCTGGTCCATGTAGGTGGCCCCGCCGGAGGAGACGTCGCCTGAGGCGCTGACGAACCTGGAGGCGCGAGGGGACCGTGAGTGGCACCCGGGGCTGGGGGCACCCAGGGCGCCGCGTGGAGTCCCGACCCCGCGTACGCTGCAGGGAGCAACGGTGGGGCGAGATGCCCGGCCACTTACTCGGGCACCACTTGCTTGATCTGTGGCTTCACGTATCCGTCCACCGCTTTGGCTGGAGGGAAGGAGATGGCGCTGAGGCTGGGGGGGGCCGGGTCCCTGCCTGGCTGGGGCCCCCGGGGCTGCTGGCACAGCCGGCCGGGGGCCGCGGGACGCGCGGGGTCGGGGGGCAGCGCTACCTGGCGTGGACTCACAGAGAACCGGCGTGTAGTACTTGGAGAAAACCTCGTCCTTGGGCCGCTCGGGGAACACGTAGATGAGGTAACTGAGGTCCCCGAGGCGGTCGGCCAGGGAGCGGATGGAGAAGTCCCTGGTGGTGAAGGGCATCAGGTTCCAGAACATGCGCTCGGCTGCAAGACAAGAGCCAAGGTGGCCGCGGCGCTTCGAGCCTCGCGGCGAGGCTGCGTTAATCAGAAGCCCCCCAACCCGCTGCCTTTTCCATGCGTTTTCCCCCTCCTTGCACCATGTCAGGGCCAAACGGCATGAGGCAGGAGCCAAAGGTCCAGCCGGGCTGCGGGCACTCACGGGAGTCGAACTTCCAGGCGATGGTGATGCCGCCGATCTCCGAGTCGCTGAAGCGCAGCAGGAAGGTGCCGTGCGGCTCGGCGCTCAGCACCTTGCACACGTACTGCTTGCTGATGAAGCCCACGATGAGCCTGCGACGGCGACGGGCACGTGGCGAGGAGGGCACTGGCACCCGGGGCGCCCGCCCGGCCCCCCGGCACCCACCTGTCCGACCAGTAGCTTTTGAGGCACCTCTTGGTGAGGTCGAGGACGCCGTCGAACCACTGCCAGAAGGTGAAGCCGCGGCCGGGCAGGATCTCCTGCAGGGAGGAAGAGGAGGCCGGCAGCGACGTGAAGGTGCAGGGCTGCGCGGGGTCCCCCGGGCCCCCCCAAACCTTGTTGAACTGGGCCCAGGAGACGCTGCGGTTCTGGAAGTCCTCGGGGCCGGCGCTGTGGTCGTTGAAGATCTTCTGCGCCAGGAAGAAGTAGTGCTCCTTGAGGAGCCCCTTGGTGGTCTGCACCTCCGCCATGAACTTGAGGTTCAGCGTGTCGCACATCTTCTCCCAGGGCACCCGCTCGGCCACCACGAAGGGCACCCGGTCCTGGCGGGGGGGACACCCTGCGTCACCGCGCTCCATGGTGGCCCCAGGGCCCCCCGGCCAGCTGGTGGCACTCACGATCTCGGAGAAGGCGTTGTCCCACAGCACGGTGGCCGTGGCGTTGTTGTCCTGGCTCCCGTGCACGATGACCACCACGGGCAGCGACAGCGTCTGCGGGCACGCGGGGCAGCAGCGCTGAGCGGGGCCGGCCGCGCCGCGCCGCCCGCCCCGGGGGCAGCGCCCGCTGCCTTTACCTTCACCTGGAAGACCAGCTCGTTGCCGCCAACGCTGAACTGCGACTCGAAGAGGATGGTGAACTTCTCCTCCGTCACCGACTCGGCCCCGCGCCGGTCCGAGCGCTTGATGCGCTTGAGGGACTGCGGGGACAGGCGGGCTGAGGCGGGGGGACGCGTGGTGCGGGCCAGGAGGGCGCACGGGGGGCCCGGAGCGCTCACCATGTTGCGGAAGTGGGCGCTCAGCGTGCCCGTGGCCTGGTGATACTCCATCACGCAGCAGTTGTTGAGGATCTCACCGCTGCTCTCGCTGCGGCGGGAAGGCGCAGGGTGAGGGGCGCCCGCGCAGCCCCCCGCTCCCCACCCCGGCTGCCCCACACGGCCCCTCCATCCCCTGCACAGCCCCGGCCATTACTTGCGGGTGCTCTCGTTCTTGAGCAGGGCCTTGGCTTGCTGCTCGCTGATGATGGTGGCCTTCACCTGGGGGGGGTTCATGTGCACGTTCAGCTTCCCCCCCACCAGAAGCCGCACGGTGGCCGCGAATTTAGTCTGGGTCTTCAGCACCTGGGGGGGCTGCTTCTCGATGATGAAGGTGCTGGCGGGCGGGGGGGATACATGGGGGTGAGGGGTGGCCAGGCATCCCCGCACCCCCCCACCGGGAGCCCCGCCGCTACCTGGTCACCAGCGCAGAGATGATGTCCGTGATGGTGCCATTGAGCTCCGAGAGCATCTCCTCCACGGGCCCCGGGATGGGCAGCTGCTGGCACAGGTGCTCGGCGCGCCGGATCTGCTGCCGGTTCTGCCAGATGATCTCGGCCAGCTTCTCGCACCTGGGGCAGCGCAGGGCTCAGCGCCGCGCCTGCGCCGCCCCCCTACCCCGCGCCGCGCACCCACCAGCTCTGCAGCACGTCCAGGGTGCCCTCGGCGGGACCCCCGTTGCCCGCCAGCTGCTGCCGCCGCTTCCACTGGATGAGCTCGTCGTCCAGGATGGTCGTCTGCTGCTTGCGCAGCAGCTGCAGCGTCTTCTGGTGCTTCTCGGCCAGCTCCTGAGGGCCGGGCGGGCGGCTGTGAGGGCGGGCGGGCGGCACCGGGGCCCCTGCTCGCCGCGCGGCACCCACCGCGCGGTACCCACCACGCGGTACTGCTGTAGTGTCTGCGCCTCGCGGTGCAGCCAGGCCTCCAGCGACGCCTTCTTCTGCTGCAGGGTGCTCTCCCGCGAGAGCCGCTCCTGCGGGCCCAGCTGCGAGAGCTGCGAGAACTGGGCTGCGGGGCCGCGGCGGCGTCAGGGACGGCGGCCGCGGGGCCCCGCGCGGCCCCCGGCCCCGCTCCGCTGCCCACCTTGCAGCCGCATGTTCTCCTGGTACTGGATGATGAAGTACTCCTGCGTCTGCTGCAGCTTCTTGAGCTCGTTCTCCGAGTCCTGCGTGATGAGCCGCAGCTCCTCGAAGGTCTGGTTGATCTGAAGGTGCTTCTGGGACATGGCGTCCACGAGGGAGCCGGCGGGCGAGGGGCTCTGCGTGGGGCGCGGGGGACTCAGCGCGCAGCCCCATGAGGCCACCCCTGAGCAGGGGGACCACGGGGACCCGCAGCGGCCCCTCCACGCGCCGTCCCACGGTCCTGGGGAGACCTGCAGCTCCCCCAGCGCCACACTGCCCACTCACGTTGTTGGCCTCCCGCACCAGCCGCTGCTCGTGGTAGAGGATGTGGCGGATGCAGCGCACCAGCTCCATGGGGCAGCGGTCGTACGTGTTCTGCAAGGGCAGAGCGCAGCGCTGAGCGCCTGGCAGAGCCGTGGCCGCTGCACCCCGCCGGGCAC